ATCCCAAACCCTAAATTCACTACCCGTCTCCTCCCAGGTTCCCCTTCATTCCCTTCTCCTCCATTCTCCCTCCCCCTCTCTCCCTCCATTCACAGCAGCGGCATCGTCGCGACGTTGCTGTGAACTGCAACAGCTCGCAGCAGCGCCTCATCAATGAATGTGTGGTTATGCCTCCTGATGTTGCTCTTCCTTCGCCGACTTATGTCCTTGGAATTGGATTCTGAATCCGTGTACGAATCAGAGGATTCGGACGAAGAGCTGTACTTCCGGTGCCTCCTCTTCTTTTGCTTCTTATTTTTGTTCTTCCATTTTCTCTTCCTCGGATTCTGGCAAATGTGTGGCGGATGTGCAAGTGGGGGTGGATCTGCGACGATGGTGAGTGGTTTTGGGTTTGTTTGTTGGTGTGGCGGTGGCGGTGGCAGTTCTCCTCGATTAGATCGGGTGAGGTGGTGGTGATGTGTCGTTGTGGTGGTACTGTGACGATGGTGAGGTGGTCAGTGTCGCTTTTGTTCTCCATTGGTGATAGAGGTTAGTTGAAAAATGATGGTTGTGGCAGTGGTTGATCTGAGGGGTGTTGGTAGTGGCGGTGTCGACTTTTTGTGTTTTCTTTTTTTGTTTATTTTTGTGAGTTTCAGATTAGAGACGGTGTTGGTGGTGTGGCGGTAAGGTGGTGTTACTACTAGTTGTTGTGGTGTTCGGGTAATGGTGATGTTGATCGTGGTGGTTGTCGTGGAGGTAGTGGTAGTGGTCGCGCCGACAATGTAGAGGTTGTGGCGGTGGATCCAACGATTTTGATTTTCTGTGACAAAATTAATCCGCGACCTTAAAATTCGTCAATATTGACTAAAAATATAATTCGTAACCAACTATTTTGTTATCTATGACCTAAAAATTATATAATCTGTGACTGTGAAAAAATTTGTGACCAACTAATTTGGAAATCTGTGATCGTGTGATTTATAAATTTTGATTTGTGATCAGCTAATTTTGAAATCTGTGACCAACGAATTAACCGTGACCTACAAAATTTTTGATCTGTGACCGATAATAAAATTGTGAGCTAAAAATTTTAGATGTGTGAGTTCGAAATAATCCATGACCTACAAATTTTTTGATCTGTGATTGGAGAACAGTCGCCGGAGTGATCGTCGGTCACCGGAGTAGTCGTCGGAGCAGTAGGGGAGGTGAGGTGG